GCTCAAGATCACTAGCCATCTGGGAGATGTCAATCAAAACAATGATCTATCACCTCTCATCCACAATGACAGCTCAATTACAAAGCACAAAGAAACAGAGAACAGCACATTCTGGAGAGGGTATGGAGAGGTCTGAACTGATACACTTCTGGTGAAGATGTACCACTACTGTGGAAAGTGATACCAAGCGACTTAAAACAAATAGAAACACGATCCAACAATACCTTTGTTGGACATATGCCCCAAAGAAAGAAAGACAGAACACATACAGACACGTAGCTCTCCCATGTTCGTGGCAGCACAGTTCACACTAATAAGAAGCTGGAAACAGCCCGAATGCCCATCAGTGTAGAAGAATGGAAAAAGAAATGGTGCATACATACAATGGAATACCATGCATCCTGAAAAATAGCAATGAAACCATGAAACACCTCTCCACAGAGGGACCCGGAAATCATCATGCTGAACGAAGTGTCATTCACAGAAGGACAGACACTGTATGAGTCCACTACTGTAAGGCTAAACGCCGAGACCAAAGCAGGCTTTTGCTCCCAGGTAATTTAATCTTCTAATCTGGTCGGTCTCCCAAGCAACAAGATAGCCCGCATTGACCATATACCACCCCCTCTGTATGTACATCTTAAAAACAACTTTGACAGAGGAGGCCTCACCTCAGCTGGGGCAAGTTTTTTTAAAAAGACAGGGGGATAGGTGGTGGAAGACAATGCTGCCATACAACATTGTGCTAAGGTGACCCCAAATCAAAAGATGCTCCTACAAGAGTGATAAGAAGCCTTACTAGAAATTCAAGTCCAGATGAGGGCGAGGGGGCATTTATGCCTCAGAGAAGGCGAATACACTTCTGGTTGTGGATAAATGGAGAGGAACAACTCCCATTGGGAAAAAAATGATCAACAAGAACTCAAGGGTAGAATATGCTCAGTACCGTGTTCCCAATTGGACACTTTTGACCTAGTTTCTAAACAGTTCCTGGTGTGTGCTATAGACTATTGGGACTTAAGACTCCATCCTTTCGAGGTGCACAACATTTTTCATAGCCAACACTAAAAGGAGAAACCCCACTAAGTTAACTGGGCTTTACCTCAGACTCACCTGAAGCCCTTGAACTTAGCACTGAAACTCCCTAGTGTGAGAAGAAGCAATTTTCCTCTAGTTCCTAAATGCTTCCTCCCCACCCACTATCATGATCCCAATTCTACCTTACAAATCTG